CAAAGAAGTGACGGACACGAGCTGCTTTTAAAGGAAGTAGTGAGAGCGGACAGCGAGGAGCGCTCCTGACCTCCTGCCAGTCGAGGGAAAGTCCTGTAGACGTCCAGGTTCTGCGCGACCTGCTTCCAAAGACGCTTAAACGTCCTACGAACACAGAACCATTTGTAAGAGACGGACAGGCGGAGGACGAAAGACGTTTCACACATCAACTCTGACAAACTGAAACTGCAGTTCCACTGACGTCCAGCAGAGGCGCCAGCAGCGAGTCAGGATGTTAGTTTACAGCCTTTGGTTCCCCTTTATAACAACTGTTATAACAGCTGTATTAAAGAAAGCATCACAGTTTTATATACGGCTCAGTCCTTTAACAGGAGTCAGAGACAAGCTGACACCTGTGGGAGGGGACAAAGTTTTTATAGCTCACCTGTTTAAACTGTGTTAAGCTTGTTATTATTGGGGGCGTGGCCAGCTTCACCTGAACTGAACCTCTGGACTGTGTTTGTGCTGCTGGAGTATTCAATGATCTGACCAATAACTGCTGTGAGGTCACTGTACTAACAGAGCGTCCAAGAAGGCGGAGCTCCAGCTTTGGTGCACAGCGAGATTCAGAGATTGAGTGTTTAGACTCTGCAGGACATTCTTGTGTGGAAACAGTCGTAAACATCCTTACGGCACACTGCCGGTGAAGTTGATGCCTGCCAGGTGCTCCGAGGCGGTGACGGCGTCTCCGAACACGGGGCCGTCAGCGGGCAAGAACTGGATGATGTTTGGTGGCATGCCGCACTCCCTGAGGATTTTATACACAGAGTAGCTGGCAGACATGGCGGTGTCGCTCGGCTTCCAGAGGACGACGTTACCCTGGAAGACATGACAACAGTCCACAGATCAGATCCTCCATCAGCCACAAACAGGACAACTTTATTTAAAAGCGAGTTAATGAAGACAGCTGCTTCTATTAAGAGCAGAGTCATCTGATCTATTAGCCCAAACAGATCAGTCACGCAGCATGAATGCACAGAAGGAGCGGTCAGGTCAATGAGCGGCAGCAGCTCGTCATGTTCTCACGTCCTGCGGGGAAATCGTCCGTTATCTGGGAGCTTTGGGAACGTTAAACCTGAATCTGACCTGTGGGATGTTTAGACGCATCACCTGCAGCCTCGCACCGTCTGTTCGTTAAAGTCAGAAGAGATCTGAGCCACCAGTGGGCGACACACAGTGAGTTAAATTCACAGCAGACTCGAACATCAGACACTGAATCTCAGCTGGTTGGTGAAGCTGCAGAAACAGGTGACATCACGGGACGCTCGCCGCGTCGCTCATAACGACCCCTCACACCGAGTCGCGCCGAGTGGAGCCAAGCGCGCGGCGATGAAAGAGGCTTTGGTTAGTCAGCTGACACAAACACGACCACACTCACCATCAGAGCCGGGGTGCCCGCCAGGTTTCCACCAATGGCAGTGAAGTTAAACGGAGCCACAGCAGCTACAAACCCCTGAAAGACAAAGACATGAGAGCGTCAG